CTGAATTCTAGCCGAAATGATTGCCATAAAACTGCAGTAAGACCCTGCTCGAGAATTGGCTGAAACTGGTGTCCCACTTAACTCCCATGACTGTTTGGCGAAGACTTCTTGAAGCGGGAAGACCAACAAGGAAACCTGTCAAGAAACAACTTTTAACAATGGCAATGAAAGCAAAAAGACTTGCATGGGCCAAAAAATATGAAAATTGGATGGCAGAAGATTGGAAAAAGGTCTTGTTTCCTGATGAGACTCACTTCATCATGCAAGCCCAGCAATTTCGGTTCATTCGAAGGAGAAAGGAAAAACTGAACTCGTCACACGCCATCCAAACCACCAAACATCCTCTTAAAAAATGTTCTGGGGGTGTTTCTCATATTATGGACTAGGGCCTCTTGTTCCAGTGACAGGTATGATGAATAGTGAAAAGTACCAGTCCATATTGGTAGAAAGAATGATACCAGAATTGAAAAAACGGTGGCCAAATGGCAAGGGAGTTTTACAGCAGAATTTAGCTTCTTGCCATATTTCGAAAAAAATGGTCAAATTTTTTTTCGGAAACCATATCACCATATTAGATTGGCCTGGGAATTCACCAGACATCAACCCGATAGAGAATCTGTGAGCAATTTGCAAGAATCGATTGTCTACATCGGATTGTACCACAGTGGAAAAATTAATAACCGCAATTATCAATATATGGTTTAGAGATGAAAGGATGCTGACAACCTGCAAAAACCTTGTGGATTCAAAGCCAAAGAGGATCAAACTCTTAATTGAGGCCAAGGGAGGCCACATAAAATATTAATTGTAATAATTTGTTTCTATTATTGAAATGAATGATAAATAAAAAATTTTATACAAATTTTCATCTTGTTTCAATTAATCTGTTTGATACTGTAAGAGGAAAAATGAAGATGCAAAGTTTTAACATTGTCTTAGAAAAAAGAATTTTTAAATAAGTTGGAAATTGATACACGTATTTCATTGCTAGCATGACAATTAGCAAGAAACAAATCAAGCATGGAAATAATATGCAAGAATGAAGGAAAGGTTTAGTGCTAAAGTGTTATAAAGAATTCTGCAATTGGAAATATGGAAATGTATTAATAGCTTGAACTGACAACCAATTAAACAAACAAAAAAAAAATTAAGCTATGGGTATTGCCAGTATTTGAAACAAAACTTTAGGTTTGCCCTTTTTTTCCCCCATTTTAAATAAAGATGCTCAGTTGCCAGATAAATCTGGCTTTCAATCAAACAAAGGTTGGCTTGAGAACTTCAGGCATTGTTTTAATTTGTAGTGTGTTAAACTTCATGGGGAAGTTGGCTCGGCAGATAAAGAATCAGCAAAGAAATACACACATAGATTTTTGAAATTCATTGAAGACAGCAATTACATTGTGATTATGTTCCAAAATGAATGAGACAATGAACCTGCATCAGCAAAACACAGAAGATTATCTCAGATTTTAAAGTTTTTAAGGACAGACACATTTTTGCTTTATTGTGAAAATTCATCAAACGACTTAAGCACAATCTTCTGCTCATTTATTGATCAATAATGCCTCATGTATTGCAGGTAAAATCTTATGAATAACTGCCCCTTGTATGGAAGTAGAATAGAAAAGCTTGGGTAACAAAAGACCTCTTTAATAACTGGTTTGAAAATTCAACCACTAAATATGTGTATACAAGCCAGTTTCCCTTAGAAAGTCCTCCACGAAGGCATTCCTCCCCTTAGGCAGATAGCCCTAGTGTGCTTTGCCATAATTAAATACACCACGCCACACAACCACTAAATAAAGAAAATTAGAAATTAGAAACAGCAAAACTTGAGCTTTAAAATTCTAATTTTTGACAATACACCAGCATATGATGCTCAAGTGCTCACAATTTTGCATCCAAATGGTTTATTCTCTCACTTAACACCATTTCCTGAATCTAACCAATGGATCATGAGATCGGAAAAACATTCAAAGCTTATTATGTCAGGCATGTTTACACCTTTGCAAATATTAGATGAAAGAAAGCATCACATGCTACCAGCATTTTGGAAGCAAATCAGCATAATCTACAGCATGGAAATGACTAAACTCGAATGACAAAAAGTGAATTCATTACCTATGAATGTTTGGTGGCATCAGCTCTAACCAGAAGTTCCTCAACAATTTTAAAAGTTTTTCATCAACTTAAAATGAAGCCAAGGTAATCATATGAATTGCAAAAGTAATAGGCAACAAAGAATTTTTCAGACATGCAATAAGGGGAAATCAAAGAATTAACAAGAATGACGACTGACTAATGAGTAATAAGTAATGAAGAATTAGATAACCTTATATAATATCAGCCAAGACGGAAAGCAGTGGTAGTGAAGAAAATAAAGCGTATTTAATTTATACGAAACTAAACAAACAGCTAAAAAAGACACAGGAACTGTTTAGTTCTGCAGTAGAGACTAACCCAAATGAAGAAAGAGGACATTTCATGAGATGCACCAAAAAACTTTTCTCCAGCAAACATTCAAAGAGGTCTCAAGCAAAAATCACTAGCTTTATAAAAAAATAAATGTATGATGTACCTATTTATTAAGCAGTAATAAAATTTCATAAATCAAATATAAATAAATAATAAATTAAATCATTTGTTTTATTTTCCCTTTTCTGATTACAATAATATTTGTTTATTCATGCATACTTTCATAATCTGAACTACATCTAACATTTTTTTATAGAAAGTTAACTTTGTTGAATAGTTCTGTCACATACACAATGTAATAATGATATCGCCTTTGTGTTTAGCAAGGATTTACTGTATATGCTTACATTTATAGTACAAGGTAAGACCGAAAAGTAAGGTGGCTCAACCCTCCTTTCGTAAATGAGAACAGCCTGACGACCTGGCACATGTGCATTATGATCTTCAGTATGCAATGTTGAAGTTGAAGGTCATTTGCAAAGTTTCTTATTTTGTGTTTGTTCGTGCAGTCACTTAAACGTGAAAGGTTTTAGTGCATTGCATAATTTAGCAGAAAACGAATCTGAAATTCTGTTTTAAAATGGGTAAAACTGCTACGAAAACCTTGGAAATGCTTCGAAGTATGTGTGGTGACGAAGCTTTATCTCGCAAGACTGTATTTCAGTGGTTCAAACTTTTCCGTGAATGTCGTGAAAGCATGGAGGATGAGCAGAACGACAACAATTGTTGAAAGAGTTAGGAAGTTATTGCTAAAAGATCGTTTGTCCATCCAAATAGTGGCGATCGAATTGAATCTTCCTCGTGAAATTGTCGAAACAATATTGACGCAGAATTTGGGTTAACGGAAACTTTGTGCAACGTTTGTCCCTCATTACCTAAGCGATGAACAAAAACAACAGTGATTGGATTCCTGTGGCGACTTCATGAATGCAGCATATAAAGAAAACACATTTTTACAGACAATCGACACAGGAGATGAATCGCGGTGTTTCGTGCATGATCCACAAACAAAATGCCAAAGCATGGAGTGGCGAGGTCTGTCATCGCCGAAATCATGAAAGTTTCATTGTGAAAAACCAAAGGTTAAGACGATGTAGATTACCTTTTTTGACGCACAGGATATTATCCATAAAGAATACATACCGGTAGGTCAAACAGTTAATGGTGAATTTTATTGCCATGTTATGAAGCGCCTCCTGGCTTGCATTCATCATGTTCGGCTCCCTCTCGCTGCATCAGGCTAGTGGTTTTTGTTGCATGATAATACACGCCCTCATACTGCAATGTGTGTTAGACGGTTCCTTGCGCAGCAAAAGGTTATGGAGTTAGTTCACCCTCCTTATTCCTCTGATCTTGTGCCAGCACACTTTCTCCTCTTTCCACTACTGAAACTGGCACTAAAGAGACACCGATTTTCAAGCATCTCAGGCATTCAAGCTGCTGTTACCAAGGAACTTAACACAGTCTCAAAGGAGGACTTTTTCAAAAGTTTCCAGAACTTGTATGAACGTTGTCAGAAGTGTATTGTAGATGGTGGGAACTACTTTGAAGGACAGTGATGTATTTATATGTAAATATATAATATAATTATTATTAGGAAATCAATCACCTTACTTTTCAGCCTCACCTTATACATTATTTTATCATTTCAGGGATCTTATATTCAATCTTTTGTTCCTCAGGAAATATACATATGGATTGTGACTAAATGTTGTTTTTAGAAATTAGTCATGTTTACTTTAGTGGCTCTAAATTGCAAATTTTTTTCTGGGGACAATAAAATACAGCTTTTCTTTATGGTACAAAATTAAAGTTTCTTTTATTTAAACTAAATAAAACAATGGAATTTATTTATGCAGGCCTTATATTAATTATGTATACAATTTTATTTTTTGTTTTCTTAATTAAAAAAAGAAATTATTTTTTATTTGAGCAAATCAAAATGCACAACTACTAATTTTATCAAGTCATTATTTCCAGCAGTTATTTGCAGCAAATAACAAAGTAGTCTAAAAATAATAATAAAATACCCGCTTGCACTACATTTGTGGAAATGAAAAAAATTTAGAAGTACATAAATTAACGACTTACTAACTTTTATTTGGTTTGAAAAAACAACAAGGACTTAGATAATTAGAATTATGGAATTTTACGCTGCATTTTCTTTGGGTGCTATTGATCAGATTCAAATGAAATTTTAAAATGGGGCAAGAATCAACCACATACAGGCACTGGTTTTACAGAAATACTGAGTTTCTAGGAAGTCGCCCCCCCCAAAAAAAATTTTCTTACAGAAAAAAGCATTATCTGCACAAAATGTTTAAAATAGTTCAGCATTAGGATTTGTTATACACATCAGTATTAATCTGCTCATCAACATGATAGACAAGTTAGAATTGTGTTAATTTTACTATTTGACACAAAGACACATTTGGAAAAAGATCCAAGATTTGACAAGTCAATATCACAAGACTGGTACTTAAAACAAAATCTTAGATACATCTGATTAAAATAAAAAGAATTACCTGATGATTCATCAGCTTTAACAAACAGCATGGAATTTACCATCTCGGTGCTTTTATCACTTTCCTTACTTCTCTGAAGTCTTGTTCTGTAAGAAACAGGTCTTTTTACAAGCAGGGATTGTCGCAAACGATTGGCATTTCTTTTCTTTTTCCTATCCTTCTCTGAGGCTGATAGATTTTTAAGTGTTTCCAGATGTTTATCACAGGAACTTGATAATTTTCCGTTGAAAAATTTTTTACTTGTTTTTAAAACTTCTGCTTTTTGACTATCAGCCTGTTCAAATATTTTACAGTCTACAATCTTATCCAATATCTGACAACGCACAGTCTGAATTTCAGATTCCGAACATTCTTTCTCCTGTGTGTCTGATGAAATTAAAGTACTATACGTACATTCTTCAATGGAGTTTTCCTTTTGTACAGATTTTTTAAAGGTATCTCTAGTATCAACAGATTTATTCAACACTCTACTTCTAAGAGTACGATGTTCTGGAGCAGATTCATGAATACTGGAAGGAGATTGGCAACTTTCAGGCACACATTTATTATTTTGTAAACAATACTGATTTTTTTCTTCATTATCATTGCTGCTTTTCTCAGCTATTATATTATCAGTTCCTGAAATACCTGAAATCTGGAACATAAAGAACATACTGTAATATAGTAATAATATAGCAATATTATTATTAAATTCTAATAATATAGTAATTACAGCAATTTGAGATTTATTCTATTCGCAGATTTTTTTTTTTTTTTAAATTTCAGCAAGTGTAATTTCAACAGCTTTTTTTGCCATTACAATCATTAAGCAATTTACAAGATATATAAGAAGTATTTTATATATAATATGACAACACATAGCTATATGAAAGAAAAGAATATAAAATACGAGCAATTTTGTAAATAAATTCCTTTATTTAGATACTAAAAGAATGGATGATAACTGCATGTTAAAATTATGAGAGAACTTAGCAGCAGGCTTAAGTGTACACCTCCTACTATATATGCATTTATATTCAATTTCTGTTTTCAAATGGTGAAAGTTGAACAGTTAAGTTTCAGTTTCTGTAATTAAGAAATAAAGTGAATGATGTTGATAAAACTTGTATTCAGTGTAGGTGGCTTAGTCACAATGACTATTCAAAATTCCATAAATTTCACGTTACATAAGTATAACTTATATACATTTTGCAACTAAAATCAAATTACAAAATTTTATGCATCTCGTGAAATTTATGGAATTTTGAATTGTCGTTGTGACTAAGCCACCTACATTGAATACAAGTTTTATCAACATCATTCACTTTATTTCTTAATTACAGAAACTGAAACTTAACTGTTCAACTTTCACCATTTGAAAACAGAAATTGAGTCAAGTTTCACTATTTATAGTAAGCTAATTTGTAAATGAACTAGAATGCTCACTGAAACTATGTTAGTGTAAAAATGTTAATTATAGGTATGAGACAATAATGATAATAATTAGGTAATGCAATTTTACAGAAACTACATTCCACCTTCACAGCACCACTGAATAACATTTTTTTTTTTCTAAAACAAGTGTTCCTTAGTAAACAAAATATTTAGCTTATTTTAGAAATAATGTATTTAACTAGACACTTTGTACATGAGATGAAGTCAAAATGAGATCCGACTGATGAACTATCACAGGGGGAGGAGGTAAACAAAGGTATGTTTACAGTGGAATTTTAAGAAAGAGTTCATACTTTAAATTACATATGTCTTATAATACCAATCTGAGAACACACTATACAGGTGTGCAAGCATGCAATCTCACCGACACTAGGAATCTTCAACTTGCAAAATAACTGATACCTCTCCTTACTGTTGTCAGGTGTTTTCCATATGCAGCAGTAATTAAAGACATATTTCTCTGCGAGTTGCTTTATTAGCAGTCAAAAATTCATCAAGCCAACAGATTTCAATTAACTTTTATTGCTTAAGAGATCATTTAATTGGAAATATGAAAAAATAACTCGTACATTTATTGATGAGGAGATAACAGAGGATGTGCACACTGAATTGAGAATAAAAATGTTCTTGCAGAAAAATTTTAAAAATTGAAAGGAGGAACACACACACACACACACACACAAAAAAAAAAAAAAAAAAAAAAAAAAAAACCACTTTCCTATTGTTTCTAGTAGAACACTTTGGTTTATTTGATTATGGAAATGCAAAGAAAGGGATGCCTTTGACGAGGACTTTCCAAAGGAAACTGGCTCATACACACATTACACATGGGAGAAAACCATGAAAATGGCCATGTGACTGGCCTGTTCACTGGAATTCTAATCCTAGATTGAACTAGCGACTTCACCACTCAGCTACTGGTGGACTCCTTGGTATAAAGAACACTAAATTCTAGAGTCACTTCAGAAATAGAGCACAATTTTAGACCAATTTACATTTTAACTAATATATATTACACCACAATGTTAAAAATTTATCCAAGACTCAAGAATTTAAAAAGTGAATCAAATAATGTAAACTTTGAGATCATGACAGTTTCAATCATGTCACATCAGTGTCATAACACTTAGCAAAAATGTACAGGATATATTTTTTAATAAGTCTTTCATTAACATTATTATTTTTATTACATAAGTCTGACTGTCAGCTTGACTTATTCCACTACACACTTTTTAAAGTTTTTTAATATGCAAAGTTGGCCATGAATAACATCTCAAAATCACACTGATCTACTTTCATCTGATAAAAGATATGGTTAAACTTCCTAGAACAAAAAATCTCAGAAAATACGGTTCGCTAGCTTTATTTAACATACTAACAGGTGGGAGTAATCTGGACACTCGGGTGGCTTACATAGACTGATCATGTGTTATCCGCATCTCACAATTGTCTAACAAAACACTCCCCTGTGCGCTACAAAGGCCAAATTGAGAGTTTATTAAATTTACATTCTACATGGCCATATGGGGGCTATAATTGTTGATAGCATACAAGGTGGATGATATTAATATTTAATAAATTGAAATGGAACTATTAATATAGGTAATATATTATTTATAATAAAAAATTATACTTGTAATACAAATTATATGAAAGAACTTCAATTACAATAATTAACCACAATGCACATTATACACACATTACTTAATTAGGAACAGTAATTCTGGTAGTACACTTTTAGATGGTACATGTTAGTCAAAAGGTTGAGAACCGATGGCCTAAGGCATTTCATGATGCTCCATTTAGTTAAATCCAGTGAGTAAGCTGGTCAATTCATTTGAGCAATAGCTCCTGTTTCCAAATTTCAAGGCACCCTAGATGCTCAGTGTAGACAAGTGCTGACATCTCTTTACAAAACATCTGAGCACTCCTAAAACATTGTAAGAAGTTGTATACATACCTTGTCACATGTATGTAAACCTTGTATACATACCTATGACTGGTTACACAACCTCAATTAAAGACAAGCAGTTTGGTGCAGGGCCACTTCGTTAGTGTGCAGGTCAGCTGCAGTTTGAATAGACAAACTTTATGAAGCTGCCTTAGCATAAAGATCAGTTTCTAACTTCAATGGAGGAAAAATACTTGATAAGGATAACGGCACTTTTGTGCATGCTTAAATGCAAGTCAGATATTAGTTTGCAATTACTGATTAATTAATTAGGCACAGGCTGAAACTGAAATCTTTATGAAAGATACTGAATTATCATATGGCTATCTATAAAAAATCCTGGACTGGCATAAGAATGTCAAAACTTTTATTTTGACAGCAGCAAACTACAATTTTTCATGTTGCGTTCCTTGGAAGAACAGAGAGAATTATACCTTATTTTCACCAAAATGATAGACTGCTATATACATCAGAGGTGGAAAGACTGTATATAGTTTTTTTAATGTAATCTTATTTTGCATCTAGAATGAATATAAACTGTAAATTTAATACATTACACCAAATCTTCAATATCTTGTGAAATGTTCCATAGTATTCCATAGTTCCATCCTAAGTATTCTAAGTTCTAGTTGAGAGAAAAACACTAGAATTTTATTTTTGTTGACTTTAGAATTTTATTTTTGTTACTGTTATAGCAGCCAACATTGTCTCAAAAACCAGATTTTCACACAAAATCAGAGATCTGCATGTTCCAGAACAATACAATTTCAAGAGAATGCCAAATCGACTTAAATCCATTTCATAATGTATGAACCAGGTTATTGAACTATTAATGATAAGATTCTGATGTAAAACATATTAATATTCAATTAGATATCCTAAATTTTATGTTTTTTGACTAATTTAATTACATTCCGTACTTCTTTTAAACTTATACTGACAGAATCATGAGTAGGGAAGAAATGCTTTTATTTATCCTTTAAACATGATGAAAATAAAATCAGTCACAAAAACCAAATAATAAAATTAATTAATTAATTACAAGCAACAAACTTAGAATATGATAACATATGCAGATGATTGCAGTGAAAACATAACAATCCCTTCACTTCACTTAAGCTGGAATATCTACACAGATTTGATATTTTTGAAAGGAAATATTTGTACTCTTCTTCCAGCTAATGCCCTTACGGTCATATCAGTCACTGAGGTTCAATCTGTTGCCTTGTTGAGTGAAATGATGAAGCCACACTAGTGATGGAATAACAGACTAAAAATTAATAATAATAATAAAAAAACAGGGAGAGTTGGCAGCTATAGTGCTAAAGGGGGGAAAAAAAGACATGGAAGGAACTTTCATACTCTATTCAAAATATGGCTTCTGCAGGTCAGTTCAGAACACTACAGGGATTTTCCTCAATTTCTATAAGCTCCATTAGTTATGAAAGATGATTTCTAAGCAAAAAATTACTAAGAATTACCAACAAACTACAACTTAGTTGCAGTTAGGTCTATGAGTTAAAAAACATTTTATCTCTCCCTTTTCCTTTTCAATTATGCATATTTATTCACACTTATGAAATAATGCATAATTATTAATTCATTGTTGAGAATTATTCATATCAACTTAATATTAATTCATTATAACAGCATTTTTGTTTTGTATTCTTTCTCTTTTTTACAGGGCAATTATATGCTAGTAGAACACATTCCTAAAACAAAATTGGGAATCACTAGACTAGAGAAAATATTGAACATGTGTAGAGGTGAAACATTCCATTATTAAGAATAAAAATCTGAATGCAGATTGACAGTTGAAAGAAAATTAAGACATGATATCTAGACTTTTAGAAAAAAGCCATATAAAAAATTTAACATTTGACAGAATACCGAAGATTTAGAGTCAGACACTAGGCTAAATTTACTGTTCATTGCATTCTAGATCCAAAAAAAGATTGATTAAAAACAAGACAGCCTTTCTCCGCTCAAGTGTATAGTAGCTTGTCTTTCTAGTGAAAATAAATTTTAACTGAATTACCCCATTAAATCATAATACGTTTATTGAAATAGAAGTCCCTTTTCAAGACAGTCTTCAAAATAATTCATAAAGATAAGGTAACCATTATATAAAGCCTCATTTTTAATACAGCTACTGGAAATTTATTCCCTCCCTCTGCTAAATAAATGAATCAGTCATGCAAATGAAAATCGGACTTGCATAAAGGTCCTTGTATCCTTATGAAGATTGAGTTTAATTGCATGGGCACTCTTATAAAGGCATCTTTGGATGATTCCATACAAAACCATGAAACCAATTCTGTATAGATAGAATACTACATGCATAACAGAAGGGATGCTTATTGCTCCTTGCTTGTTCCAGATCAGAACATGTCTAGATTCGTCAGACCACATTCTTGGCTCAATGAGTGTAATGACAATACCACCTTAAACAGGCACCTACGAAAAATGAGTCCAGAAGGATACAAATCACAGGTCCTTCCCCCTGTATGAAGTAGAGTGTTTGTGGAAAACTGAAGGTCTATAGCTAATTTCCTTGTAGTCAAAGGATGGTTTTTTTTCAAGCTGAAACAGACAGAAAACTGTCATTGGATGCACTTGTTACTCTTGGCCAGGTTGTCTATTAACTAATTTACTGTTAAAAGGGTGGTTCCAAATTCTTGTTATGACACTTCGAATGATACTCAGATCTTGGATGACTTCAGTGCATGTATTGCACTTTCCTCTTGAGTCATAACTAATGAATGCTGATCATTAGGACACACATCAATTTAAAAAAACCCACATGCCCGTCGAACTTGCATCCAATCCACTGTCAATGACCTAACTTGCTAATTTTATGTAATAACCTACAAGCAAAAGTTAAGTTTTCTGTTTACTTACAAGCAATTACCATACATAATTGCATTGTTGAACACTGATTGAAAATTTGCCACTTGCATATTATTGCAACCACCTTAATAGAAATCTGCATGTTTATGAATGCATACTTGTAACCACACACATAACAATCCTCCAGGCAGCCATACACAGGCAATTCTTTAGTTTTAACAAACAAAATTGCCATTTTTTTAGCTATTTTTTGTTGTACTCTAACTTTCACCGATCTTTTACAAACAAAATGTGATACTTTTTCGCCTTAAATTCAGTTTAACAAATGTGTTAGTCGGATATGCATGCACTGGAAGAAACATTGGTAAAATTTCTGCACATCTATACCCTTTTGCCATAAAATTGCTCAAAGGAACAATTACTTTGAATCGCTTCTTGTAGCGATCATCATAAAATTTCTACTTGAACAAAAGAAACAAAGGTTATAATAAATACATAAAAAATCCAAGTGCAAAATATATACATGATATGTTTGTATGTACTAAATAGTGCTTTGGAAATTTTGCCGAACTACGATAAGGTGAATGACTAACACATAAGTAAAAAAAAAAAAAAAAATTTAATCAGGGAAATAATTTTTTCTGAGTTTCCTTTTTTTGGGGGAAGGGGGACGGGAAGCATGGATTTCAATTTCCCAATCTGTACAAATACACATAAAAAATCAAAAACATTTGTTTAAAACAATTTCTTTTTATATGGAACCCCCCCAAAAAATTTCTTTTTTAGCTCCTTGTTATCAAGTGAAAGCAGGCTAATCATATAATTTTGACAATTACATTGAATGTTTGAACTGAAAAGAATTCTGCAGTGCAAAAAGAGTTTTCTTAAGTATTCGAAGCATTCAGGTTCCAAAATGTTGATTATCATAATATGGAAAACAAAATAGTTGGTCTGTAATGAATGAAATTTTACACATGTAAATGACATTCAAGATTAATAAAATAGTTCAGCAGAGGACAAATATGTATGACAGATACACACAGAAAAAGAGCAGAATAAAAATAAGATCTGTTCAAATACATTACTTTGAGGAAAATTTTTTCGGCAATATAGACCCAAAGATACACACACTGGCCAATAAATTAGAAATCCAAGATCAATATTTTATTGGACCATCTTTTGCATGGATAACTGCTCTGACTCATTTGAACATCGAGTCTACATGCTTCTGGAGTGCATTTACATCAGAGAATACCTATCATTAGATATGCAGCTGTTTAGATCTTGTAAATTAGATGCAAGAGGGGAGTGCAGTCACATGCGTCTTTCCGTCATATACCATTCATTTTCTACGGGGTTAAGACACCGGCTATGCGGTAGTCAGGGAAGGTGTTGGATGTCAGACTGATGTTCAGCAAACCAATTTTGAACACTTCCGGTTGCATTATCTTCCCTGAATGTATCCGTAGTCATCAGGATTAAAATGCAACATTGCAGGGTGCATTTGATCTGCCAGTACATGTAGGTATCTTATGCCTGTTTCTTTATTCTCGAGGAACACCAGGGCACCACTTCCATGCCAGCAAAACATGCCCCATACATATCATGATACTCCCACCAGACCCTTACACTATGCAAGTAAGGCAAGGTGGTTTCAAGGGATTCTTGTCAAATTCGATGTCTTCCATCAGTTCAAAAAATAAGATGAAGCATAATTCATCCGACCACATTACCCATTTCCAAACCTCAGATGTCCAGTGTCTTCTTTCCCGACACCAGTGGAAACGAATTCTTGTATGTCGGCAGAAATGAGCTGTTTTTCTCACAGGTGCCCACCTATACATTCCTATCCTCTGCACTTTGTTCGAGCTGAAATCTGTTGGGGAGAGCCTTGGTTCACAATCTGTGTCAGTTTAAGCACAGTAGTCCCTGTTCTGCCATACAATTCGTCGGAGTTGCCCCAGATCACTCTCTTGGAAAACCGTGCTTGAACCGCAATTACGTCTTCTAGAGAAGGACTGTGGGTTCTGATCGCACCTTTTGAAGAACCTTTGATATAGCTGTTTTTGAGAACCCAGTGAGATTTGCTGTCTTTGAAATTGAGGCTCCTGCTAAACAGTCACCAACAATAAGTCCTTTTTCAAATGGTGAAATATCTGTCCTTTTTCCCATTTTACTTCATTCATAACGAAAAGCACTCTTACACCTTCTTTATACTAGAATTCTAACCCTGAGTAACCCACGTCGTGAAAGAAAACTGCATACTTCATCCCTAGCACGCATTCAAATGAAAATCTCAAAGGTTTCTAACTCATTGGCCAGTACGTGTAATACATTAAGCAATTAAAACAATAAATATTTTTTTAAAACAAGATAGATTTAGCTATATAGAAAACAATATTGCCTTACTTTAGAACACACAGCATTGCCACCAAATGAATCAATATTTGGCTCCTGAGGCTTAACTGTTGAAGAACAAATCATTCTTTCTGAGCATGAAATTGAATTAAGCAGCAATTGCTCCTGTGAATTACCTTGATTATATTTCATCACAGAAGTGCTTTTTTTATCGCCATCAACCTCTCCTGGCTTAAGAATGCTGCTTGTGGATGCGAAGAGTTCATGGAATGGAGACTGAAGACAGGAGACTTGTAACATTCCCTCAAGTAGTTTTTGGTTTTCAAACCCTTCAACCTGTTCTAAGAATTCCTTCCAAGTATTAACAGGATGTCTTTTATCAAATTCTTCTGCATTCTCAGGAGTACAGAGATTAGGAATAGCTTTCAGAAAAAAATCTCTGTTATGAATAATTTGTTTATATAATTCAAACGCATTCAACATGCTAACTTTAAAAATTAATTTCCTTAACAAATTCTCAGTTGACGTACAAGAGTCATTCAACAAGAGGTTAGATCCAAACTTGGGACAAACTGAACAAGACTGAACCGCTTTATCAATAACTTCCAAAGCTTTATCATCACTTTGTTTGTTACATTCACTATCAGTTACAACTGTTTCACAGTTTTCTGCAAGTAAATCCTTTTCTTTGTTTGCCTTTTCATTACAAACTGAACAAGACTGTACAGCTTTATCAACAATTTTCAAAGCTTTATCATCACTTTGTTTGTTACATTCGCTATCACTTATAACTGTTTCACAGTTTTCTGAAAGTGAATTCTTTTCTGTGTCTGTCTTTTCATCACAAACTGAACAAGACTGTACAGCTTTATCAACAACTTTCAAAGCTTTGTCATCACTTAGTTTGTTACATTCGCTACCACTTACAACTTTTTCACAATTTTCTGAAAGTAAATGTTTTTCTGTGTCTGTCTTTTCATCACAAACTGAACAAGACTGTACAGCTTTATCAACAACTTTCAAAGCTTTGTCATCACTCAGTTTGTTACATTCGCTACCACTTACAACTGTTTCACAGTTTTCTGAAAGTAAATTCTTTTCTGTGTCTGTCTTTTCATCACCAACTGAAGAAGACTGTACAGCTTTATAAACAACTTTTAAAGCTTTATCGTCATTTAGGTTGTTGCATTCACTATCAGTTACAATAACTGTTCCACAGTTTTCTGAAAATAAATTCTTTTCTTTGTTTGTCTCTTCATGACAAACAGAAGACTGTACAGCTTCGTCTACAACTTTCAAAATTTTATCATCACTTAATTTGTTGCATTTGCTATCAGTTGCAATAACTGTTTTACAGTTTTCTGCAAGTAAATCCTTCCCTGTGTGTATTTTTTCATTCGGCGATTTTCTCGGAAATGAATTTTTCCTTTTTGGCAAACATTTGGGAGTAGAAAGATTATTAGTATCCATTATTACAGGAGTAAATGGTACTTCTTCACAGTTAAAATCCTTTCTGGAATTCCTTTTTGGTTCGGTAACCTGGCCAACATTACTACAAGCTGCAAAATTTGTGTTCATTTCTTCAACGCTCTTTTTATTCTCTAATACACAGTTATCAGTTATTTCTTTCATCGGAGATTTCCTTTTAAGTACTGAAATATTCTTGTTTTCAGTCTGAAGGTCTTCTGGTCCAACATGATTCATTCCTGAAGACCGATGAAGTTGACAGGCTTCTGGAAATGGAACTACTTTATTTTCGGTAAGTGTTTTACCTGAAACAAAAAATGAAAACAGGACATAAAATTGAATACAACAAAGAAAACAATACAATACATATATAACGAATTCCATACATTATCCATACAAGCAATAAAGCTGAGGATCATAACTGTAGTGCACTTTATTACCACGATAAACCACGGTAACTTAATGGTGTGTGTGTGTGTAATTATGGCAAAGCCTCGAGGGCTATCTGCCTAAGGGGAGGGATGCCTTCGTGGAGGACTTTCTAAGGGAAACTGGCTCGTATACACGTTACACATGGGGAAAACCACGAAAACGCCCATGCAGAGAGCCCGTTCGCGGGATTTGAACCTCAGACCGAACTACCAGTGTTTAGCGACTTTACCGCTCGGCCGCTGGTGGGCCGGTAACTTAATGGAAATATAGAATGTCTAACATCCAAGCACCTGAGCTTTATGTGTTTTAATATATTTTTGATAACCATTGCATTTAAACCTTTAAAATCTAGAATGGTTCCCACTTTTGAGGCAAATATTCAATCGAATATCACACAAAATGTTCTTCAGCAATGCAAACAATTCAGCTTTTAGATGATATTCATGTGACATCACCTGCCATTAACCTCTTCACTCCCAGTGTCAAGAAAATGAAGTTTCCTAATGCGCCCATGATCTTGGAACACTGAATGCCACTATGTGCCCAAATGCATTTTGCAATTAAGAGTAATATACAAAAAATAATTCCTATAAAATCTGCTTTTTATTGAAATATATGGATTCTTGCGTATGTTATTTCCTAAAATATAAACATAAAATCTTAATACTGAGAGTTAAAATAAAAATTCAGAATAAGTTAATGTGCACTATTAGTAATGATGATTATATTTACATATTTAAACTATTTCGGTACAAAAATGAAGTTAAAAAAAAACTTAAGAATTTAAGCTTCAGTGGCTATTTACATTCCAGCGCCTTATCCACAGACATAATTTTAAGCCACTTGAGCTGCATGAACCATTTCTAAATTCAGAACGTATGTCATAAGCATTGTATGTTTTGCATTCGTAGAATAAAATAATATTTATAAGAACAAGGTTAACACTGAAGAGATTCCATTTAAAAATGTTTTATAGCCTTTTGAAAAAATTCATTCTCATTTAAAATTTGAAACAAAACATTTTATTTCAGCATATCAAATATATGGTGAGCAACCAGTGACCACTTTGCTTTCGTATGATGTTTGATACGGTGGACCCATGGAAGGAAACTGAAGTGTGTCATGATATGCTGGGAGTACACAGGTTTATATTTAACTCCAAAGCTTAGTGAGATTCAAATTGGTACCTATACTGAAACTACTCCATAATAAGACAAAAAGCAAAGCACATGCACATTATTTGAAAAACATAGGTCTGCAGATTATAAAGTGTTATAGCTTATATCTGTCAGAAATATCAATCGCCTCAAACTTATTTATCAGACAGCTACTCTTACAACAATTCTGCCTACATTAAACACAATTATCAATGAAACAGTTTAGAAGTTGAATCTCCAGAAACAACTATATTCATAAGTGAGAAGTGGCATAAAATTAAAAGACTGCTAATCTCACTCATCTGCCTATAAAACTAATATTTGACTAGACTAAAGCATTGAAATTACATGCTTTACAGCAGCAATCCCAAGTTTTAAGATACAGCCTTCCCTGTCACAGAAAATCCTCTATAAATGTCTCAACTCTGCATATAACAAAAAATACCATACATGTCTGTACATAAGCAGAGAATTTTTGGAACATTACTACAGCTAAATTACAAGTGTCGACTTACACATGATTCTGCTAATCTTGCAAAAAACACAGGCACTTTCCCACTAGTTGGGCACCAAGCGATAAATCACCAAATACAGAACTATCTTTTTTATTTCTTCAATGTATATTTCTTAAGTTTATCAATTTTTTTAAATAAAATGAAATGTTTTACTTTTGAAATTGTTTGTATTCCTGGTTTGTTACACCACCAGCAAAATGAAAACTCTGATGTTGGTGAAATTTCCACCTGGCTATTGGAAAAGTATTAAAACTTACACAAGTATAGTTCATAAAATTCGCTTTTACTCATTGGAATGTTTGGATACTTTCAATACTAGAATTCATGTCTTTTTCATATCCAAAACTGTCACGACCACCCATACAGTTAATGATGCAGAACTTTTTAAAAGCTTGAACTATCATGTCAGCTAGAATCTCCAACCCATTTTTTCATCAACTGTGTAACTGTTACTGTATCTTTTTTTCATATTTTCACATTTCATTATGGCTTTGTCTTCCATTGCCATCCATTTAACAGATCTAAGCCTTATTAAATGGCTTGTTTAAGCAAACATACAGTGCCTCCCAGTATAACAGCCATTTACGTATCACTGTACTTATACTGCACTTTACCTGTGAGATGAGTCCAGAATGAGTTACAAACAGTATGGATGGTTTATTAACCGTTTGATTGCTATGCAGCGCAAGTCTCGAAAACCGCATCGCAGAGCATTTGTGTCTTTTTTTGCTCCGTGGGTGTGAACGTACGTAGTCTGACCTCATGCGTACTTTGTAACACAAGTGCATTCTAAAATAACTAACTGCGTCGGGGTTTTCGAGGCAAATGAATGCGGCGCTAAACGTTTAAACACTGCATATTTTCTTTGGCAACATGTTCTCGTCCAGCCAATCCAAACTGCCACATTCATCCCTCCAGACACTTTCATTATCATGCACTATAACTTTACTTGGAAATTTTACACTCTTAGGCAGATTCTTTCACTTAAAAGTAATTGTAGGAGGTACTGTCTGACCATATTCCAGATTTATGTAAACATCCGGTTTGGGATGGATGTGGGCATATGTGATGTAGGGGTGAGTCCAGTAGCCCGTTAGTTTAAAAGGTTTTTTTTTTACATTTCACGCTCTTATCTTTTGTGTGCAGCACAACAGAAAACTTTTGTCTGCCCTTTATACATTTTAAATTGATGTATCGTGAAAATTTAAAATTATAGAATTAAAATACACAACATTTCAAAGAAAAACGAGTATAAGAACTGTAATAATAAACTATGTAGCTTACTGAAAGTCATTATCAATTCATACATATTTTAATGCATAATATTAATTTAATAGTAATCTAATACATAACATTTAATTCAATAATAATTTAATAGATAATAAAATTTAATTAATTTTACAATTTTCAAACATCGAATGAAAAACTTTTACCCGTTACATATGCTTTAATCAATTACATTTCTTAATATAATCAAATGATCTATAAATAAAATAAAGCTAATAAGAAGGTTGCATTAAAATTATTTAATTTTAATTAGACATGCCATTCCTCCCGCCTTTACATCAACTTTGGAGACACAGCATTAAGTGTCCTCCAGACTCATACAGAATTCAGAATCTGAATTGTCACTGACAGTAAAATTTAATGGTTCACATAATTCTTCTTTTCTCCAATATTCAGTTTATAAATTTTTCACATGATCACAATACTTCTTCCAATTGTTCACAGAAACACCTTCAACAGCATAGTTTGTGAAATGAAATAAATTCACCATGCTTATATCTGCAGGTGTATTCTGACTTCGAAAATAATTTTTTACTTCAACCCATAATACACTATGGCATTTATATCACAGTGATATGGTGGGAGTTGCAGGACTGTACAGCCTTGCTCTTCTATTATACAATCAAATTTAAAAGTATTGACTTTTAAAGCATTTTGTTTCACAAAATCCAGCAACTCCACTTTTCGCAAATTCAGACAAAAGAAATATTTTTTTTCAGCCACTGCATTATATCTTCTTTTTCTTGGGAAGCATTGGAGGCTTTATTGAGCTGCACTGAATGATAAGGTGCATTATCAATAATTATTACGGAATTTTGTGTTAGGATTGAAATTAACTTTTGTTTGTCCATTTTTTAAATATTGAAGAATTCATCTGTCCATGATAATCGCCAGTTGTAGTAGAGTTCACTTTATAAATTAAGCTAGTATTGGGAATGAAACTCATCTCACCACCAGCACATAAAATTTTTATGCGGCAAGAGCCATTCCCTGTTTCTAAAATCCCACTGATTTCATTTGATTGCCAGCATTTTCCAACCATGTTTCATCTATGTAAATTAGAGGACGGGTTTCTTCTCTGTAATGCTTAATATTCTTCAAATACATTGTTCTTGATAAAACAATGCCAAGTCTTTCTACAGGCCTGCCACTCAAACAGGAGAATGAAATTCCCTGACCTTCCCATATTTTCCAGGTGTGTTTTAAGAAAATTCCAGTCTATTCGCGTAATGCATGTTGGCTATGCTAAAAGGTAAATTAATTATGGTATTACTTGAAAACACAAAAATTTGCCAACTACATATGACTTATCCCCAAAGCATTACTATTATAACTATAATATTGCATTATATCTTCCTTTGTTTGATTTACTTTCCAGACTGAAGATTGAGATTAGAATCTGCCCAATCTGGATTAAAAATGTCCTTTTCTCCAGACAAATGAAAGAAATCTATTTAATGACATTTTAAAATAAATTTGGGTATTTTACATTCATTCAACAGCATACTTAAGCAAAAATATGTGCATTAAATTTCGTGTTGGTGTTTTATCATACCGCTAGAATTAATTTCACGATTACGTCGGAGAAAATTTCCTGAAATTTGAAAGTATTATTTACTAATAATAAATAAATTTAAAGGGAAGAAGCAACATTAAATGATACGAATAACAAAAAAATAAAGATAAGTACTTAAAAATTGAATTAGAATAATCAACACTATTTTAGTGAATATAGTTATATTAAATGGTTAGCCTAGATGACTGATTACTTTTTTTTTTTTTTTTTTTTTTTTTTTTGCAAAATGACAAGGCATTTATTAAAAAGAGGGAAAATAAAAAGGTTTAAAAGATTTTGCAGTAAAATCTTAGTATACGCTACGGCCTTGGCACAATTTTGAAAATTGTCGCCAATACCAAAATGACCCATTTACTGTTCATCGCAATGTTTCCAAATTCTGTGTGTACCGTACATGCAGGTTAGAACAGAATACACGGAGGCTATTCTAATCAAAGAACGTCTGTATAAAGAAGGAAAGATTCCATAGACGTAATGCTATTACACCGCTAGAAAGCGGAGGGAAAATTCGTCACAGAATTTGGCGACGGAACCTCGCGGTGAGAATTTCCCTCTGCGATGTGTACAGGAAACTGAGGAACACGTGTTAAGAAATGTTCTTTGATATTTCACAATAATTTAAACACAGATTTTCATAATTTTTGGGGGGGTTCAAGATAACTAATCTATTAATTAATTTACTTGTGTGAAAAAATATTTTCTTTTAAAATTTAAAGAAATTTTTAAAATCTAATTGAAGCTGCAGAAATTGGCTCTATGCCAGCTGCCCGAATGACGTGCACACATTACACAATTCGGCAAGAAAGTGAACGCTTCCAATGTAGCAGCAAAACTGGACTTTTTTGGCAGAATTGCCGTATAAAATTCCCCCACTTTTCCAGATTTTGACGAAAATATTTAAATTCTCTGACTTTTCCCCTGAACTTTTGGGTTAATTTTCAAATTCCCTGACTTTTTCCAGTTTTCCAGGTAGCGTTGCAACCCCGTTTCTAGTAAAGCGCTTCTTTTATTGCGGGACTTATTCCAGATGAAATCAATTTCTCGGAGAATCTTTCTTAGCATTTCTCTTTGCCAAGGAAAAATGTTTCGTGTCTTTTAAAATACAGGAAGCAGTTTGGTTATAGTTGGAACTTTCTTTGAATTTTCTTTGAAATAAAAGTCTTGAACTGCTTGTCTTAAAATATCCAAATCAAAGTTATCTAAGCCTGTACTTATAACAAATTCTCTTTTTTTCTTTTCTTTTTTAAGAGAAGAGAATTCGACATTTTCTATACTTTGAGATTCTTTACGATATAGACTGGCAATAGAAACGCCAGTCATCTTACTCGCTCTACGTGTTGGCTGTATAACTGGAATGGTCAATCTTCCTAATTGTGATTCTTCATCATAATCGTTAATCGTGTTATACACTAATTGCTTGAAATTGCTGTGGAAAGGCTTATTTCTAGCTTCCTGGAACACTAGAACTCATAGTAAAAATGGAGATTTGAAAATAAAAGAAGGTCAGTAATAGCGATGCTCAAAAATTATCATAAAAAACACTAAATGACACCTGACCTTGCAGAGGAAAAAATACTCCCCCTTTTTCACCCACACCCCTTTGACCTCCGAGAGAAAAAGATAGCCGCGCTTCTAATCTATATTCCTTCAATTAAAGTGAACCATCTTGGCCCTCAGCCAACCTGCTTTCGCTAGTGTGGTCAGATAGTAAACAAGTTCAATCTGCCATGCAGTGCAAAGCTACCACAAAATACCATCTCTCATCATATACTGTCTTATGGCTGTAAAACCGTCGAAAATAGTCATAGATCAACAGTGTAATCTGACAGGAAGTCAAATCGCATGGCAATTTAATCCATATTGCCAAACTGATATAATTCAAAACTAAAACTGTTTTCGTAATCTTACGTCACTGAAAAGCTTCAACTTTTTTTTATCTAGCTCTCAAGTAAGTTTCTATGGAAGTTTAGTGTGAGCTCTTAGGCCCTGTTCAGACGAGGGAGTAAAGGGCATAAGTGATTAAAGCTGAGCTCTGTTGCCAAGACAACCAGTCACTGCTACGTCACAGAATCTGGTTTAGGGCTCGTGGCATAGGGTTCCAAGTTTTCAACTTTACGCCGAGTTTGGGATAAGCGTCGGCCAATCAGAGTGGAGCTGAAACGAAGCGGTTTTCTTTAGACGATTTCACTGTCACACCGAAGGCGGCGTTTTTTTTTTAATATGGAACACATCATATCCGAATGATACTATCATACATAGACACCAACAAAATAATGAGAATTGCTCTACTTGCATTATGGTTTTGGCACCTTTATTTATAACACAAGATTTGCATAAACTAGGTAATTCTCAAATCCCTTGGACATCACTTAGAGGAAAATAAGAGAATATTATGCAATTCTCTCTAAGCCCATGCTGCACAGTTTGCAAACCTAGCCACTGGGATATTAGCAAATGTTTTTATCTTTAAAAGTTACACCTGGAAGCAATCTAATGGGCTCTATAGGCAAAAGAACTAGATCACAGAATTTGCAAGAGCCATTACGGGTTTACACAAAATTACACTAATATTATCTATATAACAAAATCTACTGCAAGTGTTTTTGACGAGGAGGAAGTCTGATTACTGAAATTCTTTAACATTGGGAGTCAAAATTATCAAAAATTTATAGATTTTTTACCACTTAATAGATTTTACAAAAAGATTGAGCCACAGTAATTTGGGCTAATGAAAATAGAGTAACATCTCGCTAACCCTGAAGATGCATGAGTGTTTAATGTGTATTATGAATATGAAACTATTTCCCATAGAAAGTCATGCATTAAACTAGTTCGTTCTTTAGGCAGATAGCTTTAACATGCTTCTCTGTAATCTAAAAAATCCAATCTTGTAGATATTATTAACATACAATATTTTCATTTTTGTTTATGATATGAGCTTAAATGAAGAAAAAAATATGTATCACATTCAATTAAAACAATTTTGTTGGTTTTACTAAACATTCTATACTTCCACCTATATGCAACGTAATAATTTTATGTGTTATATAATAGGTTGGAAAAAAAAAACGAGTTTTATCAAACAACTCACCTTTACCTTTGCATTTTTTATTTCGATTGTGTGTGAACATGCTTGGAACATTTTGAGTAGGATTTTCTCCTTGAATCTATAAACAAATACATATATTTCCAACAATTAATCACAATCACTTTCTGAATAAATAGAAATATTATGTAACCATACAATAACGCAATTGATTACAGAAATAAGAGAAAATGAGACTTTTCTAAAGGTTTTTAAGTTAATGGCATGGGTAAAAATTATACTTACTCTTTACAGGCTACTGAGAAGTTTACTTGATACCCAACACCAATAACTCCCCATTTAATGTCTACCTCTCTATAGCAGCCATGACCATGCATGAAGTATATAGTGATTCATGTATTAGTTTCAAGGTATTTTTCACTTTTTGTTTTTGTCCCATTGCTCTGAGATTTAAGAAATGGTAAAGTGGAAGCAAACAGCCTTATCAAAATTGCAAAATATTGCTGAACGTTTGAGAATATTTCAATTACCATTCAATGAAATTATATACAATTAAACAAACTGAGTCATCAAAATGCAACAATGAATAGAGTAAAAGGAAATATGGATATGAAAATTAGGAATTAATTATATTTGAAGGAAGACAGATGATGTTTTTAATAACTGTACGTTTTATTGAACTATTGCTATACCGAGCTAATATCAGTTAACTGAAATCCCTAATACCCAAAGAACTAATAAAGCTTATAGTAATATGATTAGCATAAAAGTTATTTCAGCACTAACCAAACTTCTTGGTAGCAAATAGGAAACAAACACTCTGAAAACAAACATTTTCTGTTACATACAAACAAATAAGTATTCATGCATTAAGAAAATTCAAAAACTCAAACTACTAATCTACTACTACTCATCAAACTCAAACTACTACTCCTCAGAAGTAAAAATGTTAAAAATTTTCTTAAGCTAAAAACGTTTCAGAAAGTAAAAAATTAAGCTTTTTGCTCACATCCAATTTTACCTTTTTTGCCGAGAGTTCCTTATTTGCAGTGCCAGTTTTTTTCTTACAAATAAATATTGTGTCAGGTGAATTAGCATGGCCTGTACTTGTTACTCCCAAAATCTGTGGAGAAAAGTTGCATTTAGCACAAAACATAATGAAAATTAAGTACCTTGTATAAAAACTTGAAAGGAGAAAAAAAAAAAAAAAAAAAAAAAGAGGCCTTCTTTTGGATTTATTGTTCCCTATAAACAAATACATTTTCAGCAGAAAAATTCTCATGAGTATATACTGCATATTCATCTACCATTTCCGACAAAAAATTTTAACTTTTACTCCCGGATTCAATATTGATGTTAATAAACTAATGCAGTGAAATGCAAGTTTAATAAAAAGAAATTCAAACATGACACACTGGAATCAGAAATATATATAAAACAATACTTCACATAGTGCATCTTCAATCAGTCCTGATTCACCATAGTCCACTTTAAAATTTTACTACAAACAAAATTTTAGTTGAGCTAAATAAAAATAAATTTTAAAAATCTAAAGCATAATCTGACTCTAGGATTCTCGGATTTTTGATACCGGATTTTGATTGTTTGGAATAATTATTTAAATTAGTAAGAGAGAGTCAAAATTACAATTAAAAAATCGAACTTCGTGATTTACGAAATAAAGAAGCGTTTTGAGTTAAAGGTTGTCAAATTACCAAAAAAAAAAAAAAAAAAAAAAAAAGAAGAAGAAGAAGAAGGCTTAGTAATTATTTATTTACTTTATTAAACATTTCCTTCAGTGTAAGTTGTTTAAGATTCTTTCGATTTTTTGCGCTAATACTTCCAGACATAATTTCGTGTTCAGTTACAAAGTTCTACTTTGTTTCACGTCTTCTAAGTGCTGTGTCAAGAACTCCGATTAACTTATCAATCGGAACTTTTTGTCACTATCGGTAGCAGTATTATCTTGATCTAGAACCATACTATAGATTTTGCCATCTGTTAATTGATTACTGATTGCAGCATTGCCATTGCAACAAAAAACTGTTATATCATCTTTATTTATTACAGCTTTGCCACATTTCTTTACACAATTCATTAATTGGAAAATTTCACCTGTGGTTTGCGATATCCAAATGCCTTGAAATTCGCGGCTATCATCTTCATCATCCTCATCATGAAGTATGATAGCTAGCAAGAAATTATGCCAGGCATTTTTTAAAGTATCTCGAGACACATCCTCCCACGATCTTGTGATAATCCAACCAGCAGACTTTATGCTAAACTATTAAAAAAATTCTCGAATAGTCTTGCTATTATTCAATAAATTTAACATGGATTTTAAAAATGCGACTTTGTATTTGCACTTCAGCTCCCGCACTATTCTGCTATCCATAGGCGGAATGATGGACATGTTGTTTGGAGGAAAGAATAACTCGGATACATTACCTTTAATTAAATCTTTAAGTGAAATATGAGCTGAATAGTTATGAGGACAATGAGGACAATTTTTGTGTCATCAGGTAAACCACACGAATTCAAATTTTGCCGAGCTTCGGGGATGAAGTGATTTCCAAACCAATCATACATTAACACTTGTGTTATCCATATCTTTATTTGCATGATATATAACGGAAAAACTTTACTCCTTGCAAGGTCGTGTATTTTTTCTAATAACGAAAAGTTACACTTGTGAGTTCCTGCAGCTTGTGCTGCTAAAAATTTAGTCTAGCTGTGGCGTCTTGATACAAGTTGGAGCCTTTTCTGTAGAGGTTGCCAAGATTTCGTGGTACTATTGCCAAAAAAGAAAGTTTCATCAGTGTTTAAATTTGTCTGGGTAAAGTTTCACTATTAATGAGTTCTATGAATTCATCTGCAAATAGTTCAGCAGCTTCAGTATCAGGTGAAGCTTTTTCATCAGAAATTTCTAACCGCAATATACAACGGCGATTTTAAAACTTTGTTAACCAGTCTATCGAATATGTGCACTCAGTTTTCAAGTTCATTCCTTCATGAAATATTTTGGCCTGAGCCATTAGCATTGGACCCGTCAATTGTATGCCCTCGCTGCATCTTTGTCTGACCATTCAATCATCACTTTGTCATGATGTTTACTTTTAGCATAGCGAGTAATTTTCTGTTATCCATTGCGAGTGTGTTGTCGGAATCCACAGAAAATTCAAAAAGTTTCCTTTTCCATTTTCTTATATCATATACAGTTGACTTTCCAATGGCCCCCTAGCATAATTTTGAGATGGATATACCTTTATCCCTTTTAAGCAGCTATTCCACTTTTTGTTTAATGGACATCAAAACATGTTTTCACTTTGTAGATCCTGTTGCAGTTCCAGAATTAGAAACTCTTTTCGACATAATCTGAAGTTCAAACTTTAGTTTTCATAAAATAGCTGCAATTAAAACAGCCTGCACAAAATTGTAAGCTGGATCAAATAAGAAAGTTAACGAACAGCGCAATCTGCTACATTAACTGGAATTCATTGGAATAAGTTAATTTCAGCCTAGTTTAACAGAATCTGCTATACATGATTATCTATGTAGCATGGCGACAAAATATTCCATCAAATTTTGCCTTGCTTTTATCGTGTACTGAAACAATTAAGTCTGAATTGTATTAACTATTTATTATACTTAAGTCTAATTTTTGCAGATGCTTATCTGAGCCCTGAATAAATAAATTCCCACATATACTTAAGCTTACTTGAGGGCCGGCATTAGATATTTTGCCCCTGATGCAGTCTCTGCAGGTCTTAAATTCTGCTAACCAAGAGCCCCCCTAAGTTCTAAATTTTTGCTGCCCCTTAATTTTGGGTCCCAGTGCTTTCCCTAAATTCTAAAAATTTTATCATCCCTTAATTATGCTACTCGGTGCTTCTCTAAATTCCAAAAAAAATTGTGTTCTGTAAATTCTGCCGTCCAGAGCGGCCAGACGAGCTCTGGCGCCGGTTCTGGGTTTATGTGAATAGAAAAAAAATCAGTTATTCTTAATTCAAATAGTACTAAATATAATCTTTTGGCCTATGAATATCATTAACAAAATCTATTTTTATCACATGGAGAGAAATTTTTGTTTTTCCTTGTCAACATTTGGCACATTTAACTTAAATCTATAATCATCGCCAAGCATCATTTCAACATAAAAGAATTCCATACTCTTGTTATTCAATTACTAATATAAAAAGAATGTTTAGGCATCGCTGCATGAGACATTACTCAAGTAGTCGTGTTGATAAACATACGGTGATGGATTTGGCACATTTAACTTAAATCTATAATCATCGCCAAGCATCATTTCAACATAAAAGAACTCTTGTTATTCAATTACTTATATAAAAAAATTGTTTAGGCATTGCTGCACGAGTCATTACTCAAGTTGTTGTGTTGATAAACATACGGTGATGAAAGCAAAGTATAATAAATAATGATTCACCAGGTTGGCGTCAGGGATATAAAATATTAGTAGTTGTAAAGAATGTTTTGGCTTGAGATGTATGCCAAGCAGATATGCAGCTATGGAGCCAAATTATTGATCATAGAAATTTATGCTGAAATAATTGTTTCTTCAATAACGAGGATATTTTATTTAATGCCGAAGTAAAATTATAAATAGGGATTCTCCAAATGTTTTCTTACGGAAAAAAATCAAATGCACATCTCTAAAGCATAAAAAATATTTTCCTAAAAAGACTTTTTCTGTAGGCTATAAGGTCCAGATTTCAGATGAATAAGGATATTGGACGTCTGGATTTTGTACTTTGTACTGTATATAAAATTATATTTTAAAACATAAATGATCAATTTCTTTCACCAAATACGAAGTTGTTGATCCAAATAATGGATCAAAGTGTCGTGAAATTTAAGGTTTATTATTTGTGCTGCACTCTTCTGCATTTCATGAATGCTACAACAAAAGATGATGCACCTTCTGTAACACAACTTTGGAAACTGTAATTAGAAATATTATCGGAAATATAGGCAAAGCACGGCATGAATTAATGACCATGAATATGAGGGAGTATAGAAACATACCATAGTCCATCTGACAAATGATTTCAGTGAGTTGGTCTATTATTCTAAATGGATGCATCATATCTCATACTAATGAACTAGATGATGAAACACTTATTATTATAGATGAACAATGTTTTTATGAAGAACAGGAGAATAACTTAAATATCAACAACTGTGTTAAATTTCCTATATGAGAATTAACAGCTGAACTATAAAATATCATTGGAATGGTTGAAATCTTGTCAGAGTGTATTATATAGAAGTGATCTTAAGACAGAGTACAGCTTCAACATCCGCTGAAATATAAGCAATATAACCAATAAAACAACTTGTAAACTGAGTAAAAACTGAATTATGAAACATGCATTTTAAAAAATTATTTCTAGTGCAGACATTTAAACTTATTAATTGCATTTTATTTACAGAAAGATGGGGAGGAATTTAGAAACCAATTATCTTTTCTGTATGTATTTAGTTTATTGCTTAATCCAGTTTCAAACAATTCAAGGCTACAGGCAGAACTAATTGCTAGAGCTACACGAAGTATATCTATACTATTATAGAGGATAATTTTTTTGCAAAAGATCAATTGGTTAAAGATAACAGATGCTATGAAAAACTACACCATTTAAAAATCAATTAATGGCATCAATGTGAATTATGTATGATTTATGCTGGCAAAATAATAACTTCTTGATGCTTTGACAACATAGTAATGTTTATACTCTGACACTGGGTGTACCAAAATATGAGATTCTAATACAGAACACACTAATCATTTAATGTTGAATTCACGACACTTGAATTCATGATTGAGAAGCATACTTAACAGAAATATTCACACTAGCAAAAGGGACTGACATTCTAAAATACAGTCAACTACAAACAGTTAAGTTTGAAGTCATAGTTTCTGTACTATTATTTTATTCTGTTATGGAGTAAGAGAAGGAGCCAACACTAATAGCTTCTTATTTTCTTATTAAACTGGGGAAGAAAAAGAGAGAGAAAAAAGAACCAGAAAATTTAGAATTATAATAAAATGCAATCATTGGTGCTGAAATTTACTTTTACCTGTTGTTGTGATCATGAAGGATAACAAGAACATGCACTATTTATTTACTTGATTATGAAAATGTGCACATGTTTTATTTGTACTTACACATTTTCCTGCTGCTGTGAAATCTGGCAGAAATCCCACCAAACTTGTGCCAATCATTCTTTCAGAAATTTGGAAGAACAAATCACTCATTTAGTTAAGATTATCAATAAACACAATTTAGAACTGTAAGATTTGCAACAATCTGGCAAATTCATTAAAACTTGTTACAATCATTTCAGACGTCTATAATCTCAAATGACATTAATACTGCTGGCCACTAAAATTGCTACATCATGAATGTGACAAGCAACTAATGTCAAATATGCATGAAAGATGCATGCTGGAATATGCAAATGATTAGCATTCTAGCATATGTGCACAAAGCAAGTATGTATAATGCCCTCTACACTGCATATAAATGGGAAAGCTTCATAGCAGATTTCTCCTTTGGAAATTGCATTTCAACGCTGGTTTGCGTAAAGGCCACGTTATGCCTTGTGTAAGAAGAAACTCCTACCAGCATGTCAGAATTTGACCATACCTTATCAAGACTGCTGTGTTAAAAAATAATCTAACTCTAAATAAATGTACGCATATATTTTTTAAGCTTTGGAAAGGAGGAGGCAATGATCTAGCAATAGTGAAAGAAGTGCATGGGGCAAAACAGACTGAGAACCACTGCGTTATACTAATATCAAGTATACATTTCACCAAACATTGGGATTTCAAACTAATAATTGATAAGCATGGTTTCCCAGTCATAAGAATTTCAGATATGTGCACCCAATTAATTCTCAATAAGATGGTTTAAATTTGTTAATGAACATGAGTATGTCTTTCTCTTGCATTTTGAAAAAGGGACCAGATAACATCACACCAGATCAAAGGATAACCTTCATGTGTGCTGGTTGGGATTTCAAGACGTCCCTGACTCATGTTTTCACGTCATGCACTATTTTCAGACAAGAGTGCATATGATGTTATTTATTTTCTAATCAGCATTCCACATTTGTGGAAGCTACTTTTTCTACTTTTTTATATGCATGACAATGGAAATGCAAAATAGCACAGATGAACTGCAATGTAATAAACACGTGGGTAAGGCCCTATCTAGAAAGACTGAATTTGATTTTCTAGCCTTGATGCAAGATGGTGAAACATTCAACATTGAAAAGATGAAAAATCTTATTGTTACCAAACATCAGAAGCATATTATTGCGTATGTTCCCCCTCCTACACCTGAGAATATGTAAAAAGCAACTTCCGAAGTTAGCGGGATTGGAATCAGCTAGTTCATGAGGCAATGTCACCTCAATGCTGGGAGAAAAAAAAAAGATGGGATTTCACACAAAAATCCAGCCCAGCCTACATCCTCCCTATTGAATAAGTTAGACGTTTTAGATGCTGATTCCTGAAATGAAGAGAAAATGAACTCTCAAGATGTGAATCAACCTAAAGAAACAGATTACAAAGATGTGTCCTGATGGCAAACAGAAAGACTGCCTCCAATTGCAAGTCTAAGAAAAGATATGACATGGAAGGAAATAAGAAGTCTGTTTTCCAAGCATGGAGTAAATGGATACACTAGCACTGGTCAGAAACACAATGGCAGTTGTCCTTTGATATCAATTCAAGCTCTGCACTTGCACTTTTCATGAGAAATGATATTCAATTCATTACCTTCAAACCAAAAGCTAAATCGGCAGTCAAGTTTAAACTGTAGATACGATCCCAGAGGACACCACAACGGAGCTCCATGACAAAGAACACCCTATAGTGAAATTTAATTCTCATAAAAAATCCCAAGCACCAAGACAAAACTTCCCATCTTCTTTACTTTTCTGAACAGAAATGGCACAGGAAAAATATTTACAAGCAAACTATCCTTAATCTGAAGTTAATATGTGAAGATACCGATCCATCAGAACCTTATGTGTTTCTGCTGCTACAGATTTGGCCGTGACCAGCTCTTCTGCAGCAGTACTCTAAGATGCCCTCAAGTGTAGTACAAATCAACTAATCTACTAGCACCTTACCAAAAGAAGCGAAAACTGACTTGTGTGAGATGCAAAGTCCCATGGCTTCATTAAGGGTCACGAATTATTTCCAAAAATTCACAAAAATATTTTGATGAAAAGGCCAGCTCCTCGTGACTAAAAACCTATCAGTCACGCTCCTAAGCATAGAAAAGCATCTCCTGTTAATAAACCTACTGTGCAAGTGACAATTCATTCAGAACTTAACCTGACAGAAAAATTTACTAGTTTTTCAGCAAATTATTGCAGTTGCCAGATAATAAAATGTTAAGTTAATAAAGAAGCTAGAAGAAAAACATCAATTAGTACTTTACATTATAGAACTGTCTAAAGCAACAGAAATAAAAATTTTCCTGCTGCCTCCATGTAAGATCAATATATTATTGACTTCTAAGATGGACATATGTCATCACATGAGCATAGTGTGTTTCTCATGTGTTTCAAGACTGGCATGGATTCTCTCAGGGTTGTGAAGTTTTATGTCATCCTTTTTGTACCTCATTAGCCCCTCTCTCTCTCTAGAGCAGGGATTCTTAACTAGAGGGGAATTTTACAGTGTTGGGGAAATGCAGTCAGCCTTTTATTCAGACGTTAAGAATTCAGTATATGAATATTTATGAACATAAAAACTGCAGAGAATAATTTTAATTACAAAACCTCAAATTCAACTATAAACATTGATAACATTGCCCCCCCAAAGACGATGCATTATGACTGATATTTTTAAACATCTTTATAGCTTAATATGTCATATTTATTGTTATATATTTACTGACTTTAAATAATGACATGGTTAAAAAAATGCCAATTAACTGCAGCAAATTAGTAAAAAACTGTATTTCATGCATTTCTTTTTACATATTTCTTACGTTCAGACATACTATTCAGTACTTCTTGAGCAAATGAAAAAGATTTGCATCCATCCTCCAAGAAATTTGAATCAGGTGAGTTTTTAAGAATTATTTTTGAGATTTTAAAAAGGATGGAACACAAAAACAAATGAATTATTGGAAGGTGGCAGTCTTCATTTCTCTAACAAAACAATAATTGATCAAGTACCTTAATATACAAACCATAAAACAACATACTGCAAAATCAAAATGTACATGCATTTGTAATTGCTATAAAACTTATACTCACACGCTGGTGAAATGCCTGCCTGGGACTTTTATTGCAGAGTACCTATATTTAATAAAAAAGATTAGAAGTCAAACAAAAACAAAACAAAAAAATTCATTCCAATAATAGACATAAATAACGACAAAAAGTTCTTAACTGCGAACTGTACTTACATGAAACTCACTACTAGTAATTAAAAATAAAAGTACACTGCACAGTGAATCAATCTTAAGTTATAGTTTATTTGAAGCATTTTCCTCTGATTCTGTGGCTTAACATGTGTATTTGGCAAGAGGTTAAGGGCTAGCTACATCATAAATTGTATTTATTTTTAAAGTTTCTATTAGAAGTAAACCAAATTCAAACTGAAATGAAATAAAAAAATCATATTTTTCTGCACTGAAATCTCATAAAATATTTTTTTCCCAGCAGCTTACAGATCCCAAAGTTATTCAAGACTGATGTAAACTTCTGTAATTAATATGCTTTAAAGGATAAAGATAAGTAAAGGCTTTAATAAAAGTTGTTGTATACGTACAGCATTATTTAAAATATTTTTCTGCTACTCCTAACACAAAACAGAAATCAAACATTGGTATTTCGGAAACTAGATATGTTTCATCTATGTATCTTAGAAATAAATATGGTTACTGATATAGAAAGCAAGAATCTTTCTCCATGTGATTTCTTGCTAAGAAACTTTATATCGAAAATGTGGGGGAAAGTGCTACTGTTAGTACTTTAAACATTTCTATTAATGCACAACTGCTTAAAAATATTAGTAGTATTTGGCTCTTAATAAATGTAACACCTGGTTTTCAATTATTTAATAAGTAGCATTCGTAGTTAACACTGAGGCATATTTTTTAATTAGATTTTATTTACAAATGATCAACTAGACCTTAACAGTCTGAAAGCTCAATGTTGTTCTGCGAATTCCAATACATGGAATTGGCAGTTCATGTCATATGTTGGCTACATCAGTTTTTTTTTTCCTCCCCCTAAATATGGCAAAAGACATGCAGGCTGTCTCCCCAAGAGCAGGAATGCCTTGTGGAGAATACTTTCTTAAGAAATTGGACTTTGATGATAACATCAAGGTAGAAATACAACAAATCACTTTCAGGGATACGCTTTCTGGTTAAGAGATTAAAAATTCCCAATGAAATATGACATAAAAGATAAGCATTTCATATTTCCTGAAAAATTTAATTTAAGGGGAAAAATTAAAACTAATATAAACTTTATTATTAAATTTTTTAATAATTGAATGTAAAAATATTTTTTATACAGGGCTTTTAAAATTAAAGCATCTCTATTCAGAGCTTTGTAATGGGAGAAATACTTAACAATATATCAAATTGAATATACAATTATTTTAGAAATGGGGGGAAATTTTCTACACCAGAAACATACAATGGAACCTTGAACTAGTTTTTTTAATAGGAGGAAGAAAGAAATTAACGAGGAAAAGTGATTAAACCAGGAAACTATTCACGTCATAAATCAATATTCTTTACTATCAATGTGAAAGCATTATATTAAAAAAATTGTTTCATTTGTTCCTTGGCTGAATCTTGCACTGATAATACGGTATGACTTAAAATATTTTTATGGTCTGCATCACTCTGTAGTAAGAAAAACATTTAACTTATTAAACATTAATAAATCTTGGTGAAGTACAGCATTACGTTTTGCTCAAATTTTCCTTCTTTCTCCATAATTATCATAAACCCTAATTTAAAATTCTGAAATCTCTAAAACCTAAATAAACTAATGAAAAACTGATTACACTTACATGAAACAACATATGGAAATGATGTCCATAACGTGGATTCAGAGCTTAAGACCACAATGCAAATAAGACATTTTACTTCAAATTCTTTTTTCATTTAAATGACATATGCAAGAGATGCATTAAAACATGATTTACAAAAAATTAAGAACAAACTTTATTTTATTAATGACATTATTTAGCCTTTTTTCTACGCAGATCACAGCTTTTATTTTACAGCAAGCATGGATCATGAAATTTATTTATTTATTATGGATCATGAAGCTCTTATTTATTTTGATAGCTCCCTCCTTGCAAATATACATCCAGCTCTCTTCCAAAATTTTATATGGTTTATATGATTAAAATGCATTAAGAATTTATTTGTCTGCATTGCTTCAGACATTGATTTCCAAACTGAATGCAAATCAAAGTTGCTTCGTTTACATTCAGCGGAATGAGGAAGTTTGTTTATACTGGCAGTGAATGAGCATAGATTATTAAATAAAGAACTTGTACAGATTTTTGTCATTAAAAATGGAAAGGATTTCTCATTCTTTCTGTTAATAGTAAACAGTATTATTAATCCATAGCATAGCTGCAGAATGTCAATGCAGAATTCAAGTGAACACAAAGGTTTTTTTTTTTCTAACAGAGCATTTATTTGCCGCCTTTTAAATAAACAGCATATAAATTCTTTAAAAGCAATTTCACTGGTAGATAATACTTATAATATTTTGATAAATTATTAGAAAAGTGTCATTCCTTTCCATAAAATATAACACTCTCATTTACGTCGTCTCTTCATATTTCTCCCTTCATTAGCAGATTTTTTTGAGTGGGAGGCATATAAAAAAACTTCGATAAAATCCGCTAATGTATTTTTTTATGCATATACGTATGCTTCAATAGTGATACATGTACAAATAATTCAATTTTAACATAAAAAATAACACTGCAATCTATCTTTGAAACTTCATGTTTATTTAGAAATTTTTGCTGTTTTAAATATTGGATGAGCTTAGAAATGACAGGGGGGGGGAAAGCTGCTTATCCGATTTTTTCAGTAATTTCAATAAAAAAAATTCCAAAAACTATTAAATCATAAAACATAAGATGAATCTTAAATTTTTAGCTTCTTTACTAACAGACGGGCTTCTTTCTACAGATGCCTGTTCACAGAATAAGATAATTATTTTTAAAACTTTCCTTGCTTTTGAATAACGAAAACCAAGAACACAAGGAAAAACAAATGTGTCAAAAGAAGGATTTTTGGCTCTGCTTAGCATCCACATTACACATGGGGAATACCAAAAAATATCCATATAGCCTGCTTTTTTGCAGGGATTTAAATTTGCTTTGGCTTATCAGTAATTTCCATTCACTCACAGATGTGTAAAACCACAAACTATCCAAGCAAAGAATGACCTTTTTTGATGAGTCACACTGGCAGTCATTCAACAAATACAAACTTTATAAAAATTTACATTATTGTAACTAAAAAGAAAAAAAAAATCCAAAAAGCAAACACTTTTCTGTAATAAAAAAAATTGCATACCTATAGCAAAATTCCCCCGATATAAAAAAAATATATCTTAATTTTATCGTCAAATTGACTTTGCACATAACTCACCTGTGATCTTAAAACCATTTTTTTAACTTTAGGGCCCCGTTTTTCAAATGGAATTTTTTTATCAATTTGTTTTACTGCATAGTTGTCATTCTTAGGAGGTTTCTTCAAGACTTCAGAGAAAAGGGGTACCTTCTGATGTTGTTTGTTTTCACGAAGAAGATGGGGAGAAAGATCACAATTCTTCTTAGATTCTGATTCCTTCAGGATAGGCTTTGGTGCAACAGGTGATGGGAATTCCAACCTTCTTCTGGGTGATGAAACAGAATAGTTCTCACAGGGCCTTTTAATTCCATGAACCTTCTTCGACTCAAAATCAGATTGATATTTCAGCACGTTTGGATCAAAAGGAGAAGCAGAAGGAAGACTACCTCTACGTAAGGGTGAAGCAGGGGGTAAATTCTTGTCAAATTCTTCAGGACTCAAACGTGGTCCAAAAGTCACTCTTTTCTTAGTTGTACTTTCTCCCGATTTCTCTCTTTTAACAGAATTCTTCTGGAAACCTGATTTTAAAATAAGAAATTTGTAATTACTTCAAGAGATATATGAGTCACAACTGCATTTAGGCACTAATGTAATTCATTTAAAAATTTGAGAATATTTATAACATATATATTGAATTTGTGCTTTTCTTAATAGGATAGAAAGCACTGATGTTCATAAGATTTTTATAGTTAACTCTATTTATTTTAAAACAATTTATATATTTTAAATCTGCCCTACTTTCTCTTTCAAAACAGCCTTATTAAATATTTCTACACAAATTATTACAATAATATAATTATACGGCACTAACATCCTTTATGAAGATTACTGGATTCATTTAAAAATAATAGCATTTAAGACTCCAATTATGTAAACTTCAAATTGATTAAATAAGTCTTCAGAGAATACAAGAATATAAAAAGCAGAAAAACAGCAGTTGCATCACTAGACATTTCTCAATCCTACAAATTAAAATAGTCACCATTGTTACAAATTAATGTAGTTCATTCACCAATCCACCTTCATTTTAAAGAATTCATAGAATTTGGGGGAGTTACCAGTCGTAAGACTTAATAAACATGATGTAATAGTAGTATAGTACAAATTTCCAGATTCTGGAATTGAGGTATGGCAATTCCTGACATTGAAAATTTAGGAATTTTAGATCAGTGGCCTACAACTCAACTTGCATGCAGGCTAAATGGTGAGAGGCCAAAAGTTTTTTTTTGAAAACAGCTGACGGGCCAATTTCTTTTTTACCAAAATGAAATTATTTATCAGCAAAATAAATATTTTACTAAATTTTAAATTCGATTTAACATTTATTAAAATGTGCATAAAGCAATATATAGTAATTCAAAGGACAAAATTCAAATTTTTCTAGTTGTAATGGAAGATTTGTCAAAAAGTATTCTTAATAAAGTTAGGAAAAGAAAAATTAAAGCAGCACCTTTAGCAGGGGCATTACTGCACCACCCAAACCTATGATTTTCAGTCAATGTTTTGGGTAGTTTCTCAAAGTCTCTGGGGCAGAAACAGATCAACCACACTTTCCTGTGCAGAATGGAAGATAGCACCAGGAAGATGTAGCTGCAGGTGTGCAAAAAAAAGTAGAAGTCCGAAGAAGCGATGTCGGGGCTATATGGTGGGTATGGCAAAGGATCCCATTCGAGTCCATTGAGTCCAGCCAGTGAATGTAGACACACGTGGTTTTGCATTATTTTGATGCAACATTTCGCACTAGAACTCAGTCTGACATTTGTCCTTGATAACAGCAACAACATGGACTAGAATCTCGTTGCACACCTTACTGTCAAGGGTTTTATCTTTTGTTCAGATACTCTTTGTGGAAAATATCATGGCAATCCCACCAGATATAAAGCATGATCTTTCTGTTAATCGAATTGCGTTCTGCCAAAGACGAACCTCCTTTACGGTCTGTGGTGTGGAAGCAAATCCACTATTCATCTCAAGTGACGATCTGGTCCAGAATTTTGCCCTTGTGTTGATATTCGAGCAGATTACTCAGCCCGAACACATCTGTCCTCACCTGCTCGAGTCAGCTTATGCGGCACCCAGCGATTGAGCTTGCATGTCAAGTTCATGCAATGCACAGCATGACTAATGGACATGTCACTAAAGTCTAACTCCTTAGCAAGCTCTTAAATGGTTGCATATTGATCTTACAGAAGTTCTCACAGGCAGGCCAGAGCGCTTTGCTTCTTAAACGTTTTTTAACTTTTGACACCAAACCTTCAGTGTCATATGATATATTAGTACCTAAAGCAGTATGCATGATTTGGTGACATTTTGTAGCTGACATTTTGCAACAGAACTGGAAGTAAATGATTTTTTTAATCTGATACCACAATAGTTCCGTATCAGACACTTCGTACTTAATGACAACGATATTATTTTACAAATTTCACAACATAGAGTTTTAAAGGAAGTCTTCTTTCAAATGCCAAAAATCGTTTGACAAAATATGATTAAACATGGCAACACGAACTGCTTGCGCAGATGATGTCTGCGGTGGCAGAAAACTTGCATTAGAACCCGATATATTAATTTTCTATCTGAACCACAGCACCCACAAGACATTATTGGTTCCACTTTATAAATTAACTATACTGACAGTTAAATATTAATATTTTAGACTGACATTTACTTCAAATAATTCTGCCTTTAATTAATTATTAAATAACTTATTCTAATTTAAATTAAAAATAAATAGATTATGAAAACTTTCAAAGTGCAGTCGTCTAAAACTCAAACTGCAGTGGGCTTTAAATGCATGATCTGAGCACAGCTGATCGGCCATTCTTTTTTTTTAACTAAATGAAAAATTTTATAACCAAAATAAAAAATATCTATTAAAACATACAAAAACAATCTTTACAAAGAAAAAAATAATTACAGTCAAAAGTCGTTAATCAGGATTATCGATTTTTCCGGATTATAGATCATCAGTTTAAATCTGGTAGGATGGCATGCAGAAATTATAAAATTAAAAATATGAAACCGTAATTTATGAAATAAAGAACAATTATGATCTAAAAGGTATCAAAATTTACAAAAAAAAAAAAAAAAAAAAAAAAAAGGAGCTTAATATTTATTTGTTTACTTTATTAAACATTTCTTTCAATGTAAGTTGTTTCATTGAAAGAAATGTTTAATAAAGACATTCAACATTTCTTTCAATGTAAGTTCAATGTAAGTTTCTTTCAATGTAAGTTGTTTCAATGTAAGTTCTTTCAATGTAAGTTGCTTCATTTTATGTGATAATACTTTCTCTAATTCTATAAACAGGCATAATTTTTGCTTCAGTAACAAAGTTTCGCTGTTCAAGTCCTATAATTGCTGTGTCGGGAATACCGACTAATTTGTCAATCAAAATTTTTTCGTTTTCAATAACCTCTGTGTCACTTTCTTCTTTATCAGAAGCGAATTATAATGATGAGGAATTTGATTTAAATCATATCAAAGACAGAGTACATCGAGATGAAATACTACATTTAGTAAGGAATTATAAGCCAAATAAAATAAAAACATCTGCCCTGAAGATAAGGATAATGCTGACAGATTAGCCATTTCGGCATTCCCCCCCCCCCAGAGCAGCGTGAAATTGATAAACAGATTTCGGAATGGTTAGAGAAATGAAGGATATGCCTTCCTCCATTTTTTGCAGCAATTCCACTTTTTGTTTAATGCACTTCGAAACATACTTTCGCTTTGTAGATCCTTTACATATTAGTAAATATGTATCAAAAATTCTATTTGACATAATCGAAAGTTCAAGCTTACTTTTACAAAAATGCTCTAACAGCCTGCAAAAAATAATAAGCCGGATCCAATTCGAAGATTAAGGAACAACGCAATCTGCAACATTAACTGAATTAGATAATTCTAGCTTAGCTTATACCGTCCCTTATACATTAAACGCGCATGCTTAAACATATTATGTGCATGCGTCGACCAGAAAGTTTGTAGCTTTGAGGTCCAGATTATAGAACATTCCGGATTATGGGTGTTCGAATTAACGACTTTTGACTGTACTTTCTATCTGATATCTAAAATTTGCTGCCTTAAGACATTTTTGTAGGTTAAAATTTGTCATTCAAATTTATTTGGCAGCTAAATAAGAAATTCTTAGACTGACATCTCTTTCAAATGCTTGTAATGTGTTAAATGAATTATTAAACACTTTACTTGATGTTAAATTAAAAATAAAAATATTCCGAAAACTTTCTACGTGGAACAGAACTTGAGAATAGATAGTAATAACTTACCCTCTTCCTATTGTTAAATTTTTCTTCCACACAAATTAAAACATATGTTTGTATGTAAATAATTATGAATTCTGTATGCAAATGCAAAATTTGTATAATGTTTGCACACTGGAGAAAAATTAATCTATTATCTTTAATACTGATTGTAAATGCTCATTAGTCAGTTGGTTTTTCTTTTGTTAACTTTCAATGAAAAAATGCTGTTCACATATACATATATTCCCAAGTATAGGAATTATTCTCAGAAGAAAAAAATCTGAACTGAGTGTACTTATTTTTTGACAACTACGAATAAAAATTAATCTGATCTCTATCTTCAAAACTGTTGAATAAGATTCAGAGCAAACTCTAAATTAATTAAATATACTTATAGATTTTTCTGATGTATTATTTATGTTCAGTTATAATGATAATGAAATAATACAAACTCGGACTTCAAATTAATTAAAACCATGATACAAATGCATACATAACTGTAATATGTTTGTGGGTCGCATAACATAGCTTTGAGACCTTCAGTTTGAGGCCACTGTTTTAGATCATTTATTCAAATCTAATAAGAATAGATGTAGAAATACGAAATTGTAGTTTGTGAAATAGTGAAACCATTTTATGACCTTAACAGAATCAAATTTTAGAACATAACTGTTTCTCTTGGGAAGAACCAGCAGTATCCACCATGGACTAGAATCTCGTTGCACACCTTACCGTCTAGGGTTTTACCCTTTTTTCAGATACTGTGGCCTGTGAAAGTGATTAAGGAAGAGTCGTCAAAGACACCCCTTAGTGGTATATCCATTACTGATCTGGCAAGAGAAAAGAAAACGTTGCTTTTGCCAGTGAAATGCCGAGAGAGTAAGACGCACGATACATTGGGAAAGCTGTTGTCTTTTCCCTAATGTTACATTTAATTAATTAAGAAAGAATATATTAAGTTTTAAAATAAATGTTAAAAAGACAGACCAGTCTTAGCTTTACCAACTCAAAAGATTGGCGACATTACAGTCACAACCAACAAGCGGCATCCTTTACTCAACAGCACTTCCAATCACTGACAGTTTATTATTATTTTTTATAACCCAAAAGAAAGATGATCCTAGGCATGGAAATAAATGGATAATAGATACTTTTCAACAAATACTGAAAATAGTAAATTAAGCATGAATGAAAAAAAAAAGCCTCATTGATGCTTTGAGAAGCCAGTTTAAAAACAAGATGCAAGTCATCTTTCTCAATACCACATTTCTGACTCCCTATAAAAAAGTTATAACCATGACTGAGAGAAAAAGCAATAAAAATTGAAATTCGATTTTCAACAACATAATTGTGCAAAAAAGATATTTTCTTTGGTGACAGCAATTAAAACTCGGCTTGAAATAAGCGTGGCTCTCCACCTTGCAGTGACATCATTGGAACCCAAAATCCAGGAACTGATTTCAAATAAACAGGAACAAATATCACACTAAAAATGTGTAATACTTAAATAAACTTAAATTTTTCATTTTTTAAAAAATAATTACTGCATAACTTTGTTACCTATAATTGGTGCATTCAACATTAATAAAACAAACATTTTCTGATTATTATTAAATAAATATATTTATCTTTTTTTTTCTAAATTCATATTCGTGGTCCGCCAAACATAAAACTATACATTTAGTGGTCTATAAAGTTATAAAAGCTGGCAACAGCTGGTCTATAGAAAAGGGCCACCACACTAAAAGGTTTTTTTAAAAAAATTCTCTAAACATTTATACCACTTACCTGCATAAGAACTACGTTTGGAAAAAGAAGCTTGAGATTTTTGGCTTGAACGTAGGCTGTGCTGGCATTTTTTGTATAGTTTAGCAGTATTTGGCAGAGACTGCCTTCTGAATAAAAGCTGTTTCACACATTTTCTTTCACTTATCTGAAAAATGAAAAATAAAACAAATTTTCTACACTTTTATTTTTAAAAATTATAAAATAATGTTTCACTCTTAAAATCAATAATGATCTTTAGATATATCACCCAAAATTGCAAAGCATGCACGGATTATTTACTGTAGTACTGGTGTCTCTGTAAGGCACATGTTAAGAGCAAAAGATGTGTTTATGTTGTACATGGATATAACCAGATAATCACCATGCAGACAGCTTGTCTGCCCAATAACAATGTTACAAAGAAAGATACTACCAAAGTTTTTATGGTCTTATCCTACTACAACACTGTACAGTACACAGAAATTAACAAGAAATAAACTGATATTTTGATACAAAAGTATTTAATGACCATAACTAACCTTCATGTCAACTAGGGCTGCTGATGGTGAAGAATTATCATTTTTCATTAGATATTTCACCATGGATTTTGTTTCATATCTAGAGCTCTCCTGAAAAATAACAAAAATATAAAACTGTTATAATAGCATTCAAATTTAAAATTTTAAGTCTTATCCCTTTAATACTAAGGGAAAAAATAAAAGTTAAATACATATACATATATGCACTAAACTAAAATATGAAGGTTTCAAAGATAAGTAATTTAATGTTTAAATATGTGTAATTTTAACAATTTTTGCAATGAAAATTTCTGTAATGAAAACTAGAACTATTACAGTACTAAGTCTAAAATTCGGAACCATTGCCAATCCTGGCTTTCAGAAATTTCTAGATTTTAGATCATCACTTCGAATTTAGTAAGATGGAATGTACAGGGTTGCCACTCAAACAGGAGAATGAAATTCCCCAGACTTTTCCAGGTTTTCCAGGTATGTTTCGAGAAAATTCCAGTCTATTCGCGTAATGTACGTTGGCTGCGCTAAGAGGTAAATTAATTATGGTATTACTTGTACTGTGTAGCAAATTCACTTAATTATTCAATAAATCCCAGAGGACATTTATTCTTAATTATTCTTGGTATACTTTGTTTGATAATTTTGTTTGCTTTTCCACTTAAGAAACTTAATAAAATTTAAGATATATACATTAACAATTGTACGTTTTATTTAATTATTACTCATGATCATCTCCAGTTCAACATGAGGCTAATCCGGTTCTTATAAATCACAACGCAATGCTAAAAGATAGGTTAGATTTTAGGTAAATTTAATTTGTGTGAGGTGTCTTCTTAAAAGGCACCTTAACACTTGAAAACACAAATGTAATTATAATAGGAGTTGTTTTCTCCACTGAAGATTGAGATTAGAATCTACCCAATCTGGAATAAAATAAGGCTTTTTTTGCAGACATTCTGCAGTTAAATGAAAGAAAGAAATCTATTTAATGATATTTTTTTTACTAAATTGAGGTATTTTATATTTATTTCGCAGCATACATAAGGAAAAAATATGTGCATTAAATTTCGTGATGTCATCATACTGCTAGAATTAATTTCAGGATTATGCCAGAGAAAATTTCCTGAAATTTGGAACTATTATTTACTAATGATAAATAAATTTAGAGGGAAGAAGCAACATTAAATTATATGAACAACATACAAATAATTACTTAAAAATTGAATTAGAATAATCAACGATATTTTAGCGAATATAGTTATATTACATGGCTAGCCTAGATAATTCATTACTATTTTTTTATTTTACTGCAAAATGGCAAGGTATTTATTAAAAAGAAAAAAAAAAGGTTTAAAAAGATTTTGCGGTAAAATTCTAGTATACGGTAAGGCTTTGGCACGATTTTGAAAATTGTCGCCAAGACCAAAATGACCCGTTTACTGCGCATCAAGATGTCGCCAAATCCCATTATTATTCTAACCAAAGAACGTCTATGTAAAGAAGAAAAGGTTCCATACAAGTAAATGCTATTACGCCGCTAGAAATGCGGAGGGAAAATTTGCCAAGGGATTTGGCGACGGAACCTGGCGGCCAGAATTTCCCTCTCCGCGATGTGTACAGGAAATTGAGAAACACGTGTTAAGAAGAAACGCTCTTTGACAAAAAGAAAACTACAAAAATCCGTTTTTAAAATTATTGAGAAAAATCCACGCAATAATTTTAAAAACGGATTTTCGTAGTTTTTTTTCCCCCTGAAAATGACTAATCCATGAATTAATTTACTTGCCCCAAAAAATATTTTCTTTTCCTTTAAAGTTTAACCACTTGCGCTAAGACTAAACTTCACAGTTGCGGTGGCATGCGCTACAATATAACAAGCGGTAAAGTGTCTCATTTACGCCGCTCCGCATCTGCAAGTGCAATCCAGAGCTGTAACTCGAGAAATAAACAATCTCGCCGTTAGGCGACGTGTGCACCACGTTATTTTCATTTTTGCGATAAATGCTTATCGACGTGGTGTTTACGTTGCTCACGGTTTGAGACAAAAGCATCTCGACGTGCGTGGCACGTCTTTTTAGCGCAAGTCGTTAAAGAAATTTTAAACTATATTCATTTTATGAACACTTGATAACGTGACCTTCGAACTTCGACACCGGTTTCGAGCTTTCGCGACAGATATATCAGACATGCACAGCTGTTTCCCTCAATGATGGAACGGAGCCACGTCTGTTGCAGAGAGGTTTTCCTTCTTTACAATACATATTCTTTGATTCTAACCTCCATGATACCGTATACTAGGTAAACCCATTTTGTTTTATACGAGAACAGGTACTTTCTTTAGTTCATGCACTGCACATGCGATTCTCGAGAATACTGGAAACCAAAAGTTGCAGGAAAGTTGCTTTGCCTTTCTAAAAGACAATCAAATTGGAGCTGCGAAAATTGGCTCTATGCCAGCTACCCAAATGACACTCACGTGATACATAATTCGCCAAAAAAGTTATCTCTTCCGACGTCGGCGCAAAAATCGCTTTTTTTGGCGGGATCGTTGTATGAACTTCCCTGACTTTTCCAGATTTTGACAAAAATACTTAAATTCCCCGACTTTTCCCTGAATATTTTGGTCAATTTTCGAATTCCCTGACTTTTCCCAGTTCTCCCGGTTTTCCAGGTAGCGTGGCAACCCTGAATGTAGAAATTATGAAATTAAAAACAGGAAATGAATATTTATGAAATAGTGAAGCATTTATGACTTTAAGTGAATCAAATTTACAAAAAAAAAAAAAAAAAAAAAAAAAAAAAAAAAAAAAAAAGTTCAATATTTTCTTAAACACTTCTTTCAATGTATGTTGGTTAAGCTGTTTAAAACTTTTAATACTGTAAATTTATGGACAGACATGATTTGTTCAAGTCCTGTAACTGCCTTATCGATAATTGCCACTCGAAATTGAATCTGTCAAAATCTTTGTCCTTTTTGACAGGGTAGTGAAAGCTTCCAGATGTCAAACCATACTACAGATTTCACAGATTTAGTTGATTGGTGACTGGGGCATTGTTATTGCAATGGAAAACTTCTGTTATATCATCTTCCTTTATTATCACTTTTCCACATTTCTTCTAAAATTCCATTTATTGGAAAATTCTGAATCTATAGCATCCACAATCTACACCAAAATAAGACTGTTATTTTCCTTAATATTTGAAATCACACTTCCTTAAGCCCCCATTGCACCAAGCATATAAATAGCCTGCAAAATAATAAGGAAGATAAAACTAATTAAAAGTGCAATTTGCTAATTTCTTCCAAATATAATCCTTTTCCCCTCCCCACTATTATGCAAACAAAAGAAAGCCAGTATTAGCAACATCCCACTTAAAACAAATATGTCTTAAAGCTTCATTTACTGTTTACGTCAGACAGAAAAATATTAACCCCTCACCTCCACAACCACTCAAGAACCAAAGGGTGGTCATGGCTAACGTCAATCGGTATCTTGTCATTAGCCATGGTGTGATTTCCTAGCCAGCAGATGTTTGAAAATGACATACAAGAATCAGGGTCAGTGAAGAAAAAATTGCTTTCATAACACACAACACTTTTCTAGAATATTATATGTTCCATTCCTAAATTTTGTTTAAAAAAATAGAATGGTGGAGGCCCTAGTTCTGGATATTAGATTATTCCAGATAGTGGATGACTGCATTTCAGATTTTGTACTATACTACTCCAATTCTACTTGATTCATCGTTAGTGCATAGACTCCAACCTTCAGCAAACCTTGTCAGTAGTCAACGCGCGAACGACATTTTTACAACTTTGAAAATGTGCGCGTAGCATATGTTGTAATTAACCATTCATTAATTTTAAATTAATAATTAATTGTAATCAATTTTATTACATTTAAAATCCATATACATATAAAACTGAATAATTAAAAATATACCTTGTAAATTATATGCACGCTTAATTAGAAATTTTCTTTTAACTCCTCAAGCATTCACTAATAAAAAGTACTTCAATCACTACTAATCATAGAAAAAATCAAAAGCTATAAATCATATCTTTATTCTGGATATGATTTCTACAGGGAAATAAAATTTAAATAACCAAGAATGATACATATAAGTATTAAACAAAATACGCATAATTTATGAATGCAAAGATTTATATGTAGCATGCTTAGCAAGCTTAAGTTCTGATTTTGAGAATGTTTTTTTTATAACACAGTTCTTCATTTGCCTGCATATTTATTTTTTCAATCAAAACTGCTTCAAGAGTTTTAAGACCTAAATTTGGTCGAAATTCCGTCTGATTTTTTTTAACAATAGAAAAAAATTCTTTCGCAAGCTGCATTTGAATGAGGTATTATTAAGACAGCAAGCATTACAGAAGGCAATACTTTGTATTTAATACACCCATTCATATTTTTTAATTTGGCAATTTCTCCCCATGCTATATCAATACGCAAATCTACAATTTCTTTCAAATCATCTACTTGATACATGGAAAATTCAATTTCTACTTGATTAAGACATTTTTCATCAATAATGGATGGAAAAGTATTCATCAAGTAAAGAACAGATGAAAATGAGACTTCAGTTCTCAAGTTGATGTCAGCAACTTCAGCATGTTTTAGAAATGGATCACTCAGTGGAAATTTATCAATTATATATGAACATGCAGTTACAAAAAAAGCTCGCACAGAATTGAAAAATGATTTCACTTCACTTTCATTCAACTCGGCATTTTTTAAATATAGTCTTGTTTCCGCACCAATCACTAAATTTTCATTTTCTTTTTGTTTACTATACTTCTGAAATGGAATAGACGTTAGAGTAACATCTTCATTTTATTTAGAAATTACTGATGGTTTTACGAATCTAACAAATAAATTCATTAAAAGTTCAAAAAGTTCTCTTCTCAATTTATGTATATAAGGAGCTTGTTGTTGCAAATTAATATTTACTGTTATAAACAAAGGCAAAGTATTTTTCAAAAATAACAAGTACAATTTGGTGGTCGGTGACTGTAAAATTTTTTTAATGTTTTGCAATCTCTTTCCTTCATTCTCACTGTTATCTGGTTTATCTCCAAA